GGGATGTGGGGAATCACTGCGGTGATGCTGGTGGGAATTGTTTAAATCCCATTTTCTCTGCTGGAAAGAGCCCCCAGCCCCGCAGTGTTGGAAATCCTACACCCCATCCCTGTGCAGCTTGATCTGCCACAGCCGGCATCGTGTTTGCTTTTGGCCTTGGGGTTGGAGGGGCAGGCGATTCCCAGGGAAGCAGGACCTGGAGAGAACATCTCCCTCCCCAGGGAAGGAGCCCAGTGTGGGGACGCAGCCCCCGGGGAGCGGAAACGCCTGCGCTGGAGCTGCGGTTGTGCCGGGGACGGAGCCGACACGTGTTCCTTGCACAGCCCAGAAATAAATTTCTGTTTCGAGCTGTTGTCTCTCTCTCTCCCCCATCTCAAGTTGCAGAATTTGAGGCAAATAACCAGAGTTATTTTCCTGTTGTTCCCCTCCCTCGCTGGCACGTTGGGGCGATGGCAGCTGGAGGAGATCAGGGCTGTGCTGGCTGGGAGTAGCCCCAGCTCTGCTTCGCCCCCGCATCCCTTCCCTGGGGACACTCGGCTGTGGGGACAGCCAGCGGTATCTGGCACCAGGAACTGGAGCTGAGTAGCTTCGCTGTGAGAGGAACAGGGAAGGAGCCACAAATACTGGAATGGTTTGAGGAGGAAGCCTGGTTTGGAGCAAAACACTGGAGGAAAAGCATCCAAACCCCCTCTGTCCCTGCAGCCGTGTCCGGTGGCTGGTCCCACCTCCCCGTACCCCTTGTCATGAGCAGCTGGGGGGGAGTGCAAGAGATTTCATTTCATGGTAGGAGTTTTCTGGGAATTTTCAAGCCCCTGGCAAACATTTCCAGGAAAGGCATTGCAAAGCTTTGGAATGACGGGTTTGTTCATGATAACAAACAAAATGGCAGCGGGGGGAGAGCAGGGAGAAGCCGGGACATTGTTAAAGGATGAGAATGTGGGGAGTGGATTTAGACTGATATACACTGTCCAGTTGGAAATTCCTCTTCCAGGTCTGAGTGAGATAAGCAGATCCCCCCCGTGGGCCTGGCTTTGGTGCCTGGATGTTGCTGCAGCTCGGAGAGAGCGTTTTCATGGCCTTTTGCGGAGGAAAAATGCCTTTTCCTGCCCGTTGGGGAGCGGGTCCTGCAGCGGTGATGCTGCAGCTGGCAGGGGCGATGCTGGCACCGAAGGGAGGGGGATGCTGGAGGGGGGTGCAGCACCCACAGC